TATGAATTATTTGTCAAGATTCAACTTATGTTTGAATAAGAACTGCTGAGCAGCTCTGAAGAATATTCTTTACTATGTAAAGAAGATAAAAGCTCTGAGAATAGTTTATAAAAATAAAAGAGATGATAGAAATTTACAGTCAATTACTTATTGTGATTCAAATTGAGCAGATGCAGACTTTCAATATATATCAACATCTGACTATATCATCATGATTAATGGATTCTCAATATCATGATGCTCACAACATTAAACATCAACTGTAAAATCAACAACAGAAGCAGAATATATCATCACTAGTGAGACTGCATGTGAGCTTATTTGATTGAATGATATGCTGCAAGATGCAGGCCTGATGAAAGAAAAGTCAAAGATCTGCACAACATTGCAGATGAATAATAAAGATGTCATTGATCTGACAAAGAAGAAGTTCTTGACAAAGAGATTCTGTTATATAGAGATTCATTACCATATACTTCACAACCTAGTTAAGAAGGGAGAGGTGGAGCTCTCACACATAGATTCTACAATGAATAAAGCAGATGGATTTACAAAGTCTCTGCCAAAGCCAGCTTACAATGAATTTGTGAAGAAAATAGGATTGACAGAGGTCTGATCTCATTGATGAGGATGATTGATTTTACATAGTTTTGCAGCCTCTAAGGAGATGTAATGAGAATACAGATTAGAGGAATAATTGTGTGCTTTCTTTGCAAAGTTACAGTACAGAGACATAATAGAGCTTTTCCTAATAGAGAAACTAGCATCTGATTCCTGTATTTAATTTTTATTGTGGATTTGAGGGCATTCAGCAGCTAGGGGATAGGGCAGAGCTCGGGCTCACCGTGGCATGTGGGGGGTGTGTTGGAGGATTCCCCGGCTACCCGAGGTCACGTGCACCTATATATTTATTAGTTGTAGCTAGCTTGCTTAGAGTCCCACAATGTAACAAGGTTGATAACAGTCCTCTAAGAACTAGTTAGGTTAATGTAATCCACCCCCGAGCGAACCACCAAAATCATCATATTTCAACTAGCTAGAATTTAACCTGAAATATCCATACCAACAATTCCTTATTAAATTAAATTAATTTACACTAGAATTGGGACATCTTGTTCTCTTATGACCAGGCAAATTGCAATTGCTGCACTGTTGTGGAACTCCTGAGTGTGATTGAGATTCTGCAGATGGAGGCACAGGGGGTTGAATGACTGACTGTTCAATGAGTGCAGCAGCTGGAATAGCAAGCTGAGTAGCTTCCTGTCTGATTAAACCTTCTTCTTGTTGAATTCTTCAGGCAGACCTCTTGTATTTTTGCTTCTCTTTCTCATTTGCATTGAATATATTCTGACAGTGCTTCTTCATAATAGTGGTGTTGACCATCCCATATTCACAGGCCTTGATAATTTGATCAAGGTCTTCCACTAAACCTTGAGGCTGCTGGCCCTTCATAAAGCCTTTGATCTTCTTGACCTGCTGTTGCAATTCCCATGGGTTGCTAGGTGTTTGAAGCACTGAGGATGAGGTTGAATTGCTTGATCTGCTGGCTGGGGGGATAGGGATTCAGAGTTGAATATCTAGCTGCTGAATGACCTGGTCTGGTTCAAATGACACTATACCAGTAGCTCTGAAGCCACGTTGAATGTTTTGAGCTTTAAAAGCTTCCATACATGCTGCAGGGTAGGCATCTAGAAAGTCTGCCTTCTTAATGATATTGAATTCAAGTCACATTCACTGTTCAACAAGACTGCTGTATGCGTGTTTCAAAACTGCAAAAACACTCACATCTAGTGACTGCAAGAGATGTGAGCAGAGAGGAATAATCTCATTCTCCTTGCAGATGTAGTCAAATTCTGGGCTAAGATGACTGCCATGCCCATTCAGAATAAGAAGAAGATAAGTGTCAATTCTGTGTGGATTTGCAGCAGGAATAAACAGCCTAGTAAGCCATTTAACTCCTATCTCATCTGTAGTCCAGTCATTAGGGCTAACATCAAGCCTCCAGCCATCTGGAAGCCCATCAAACCAGCCTTCCTGTAGCTTCTGACCCTTAAGAATCGCATATGAAGGCAAGGCCCAGCCTGATGTGTTGACTGCCTCAATCACAGTCATCCATTCCTGATTTCCAGGCTGTAGAAGCTTTGCCCGGCCATAGCACTCACTACTATTAATAACCTTAGTAGTGGCACAGAGCCCCATTGCAAACCCAGTCTCATCAAAGTTGTATATATCTTCAGACACAATCCCATGCTCAGCAATTGTATCCTCCAAGGTCTTAAACCAAGCCTGAATAACTCTTATATCCTCACATTTAGCTCACTCATGATTATAGTGTCTGGAATAGTGGCAATGAAGCTCTGTACAGTGTTTAATCAGCTTGCAGATCCAGTTCTTGCCAACCTGGGGGGCAGAGGTTGAGGCGGAGGTTGAATGCTGGAGTTTAAGAAGATGATTGGCCATATTCTCAACAAATGCTGACAGAGGGGGTATTCCTTGTTTTGCCAGATCTAGAATCCACTGAACTAGCTGATTCTCTTCAGACTCAGTTAATTTGATTGAATTTGCGCGCAGATTCACGCGTGCAGGTCAGCCATTAAGTCTATGGTGTAGAATAGCATATGGGACCTCATGAAGACATGCAGCTTCATGATTTGAGGTAATTTCATTATTTTTTAAAGCTTTTATCATGAGTTCAATTCTTCCCTCTATTTCTATAGAGTTTCTGGCATTTTTATTGCGAATTGGTGGCATTCTCATGCGTTGAAGTGGGTGGGTTATAAAGTTGAAGCTTTTTTGGATTTGATAGTTCGCTCGGGGGTGGATTACGTTAGTTAACATTAGTTATTAACTAACTAACATGCAAACAGTGCAAACGCCGCCATTTGCCCTTTATTTCCAAAACCATCGCAATCGGCACCAACTACCACGAGACCCAGCAACGAGCCTGACAATGAGTGCGAAGTATTAAAGATCTTGCCGTGCTCCCCTCTAGTTCTAGTTATGCAGAAGCACGGCAAGCTGTAGTCTCAATTCATCAACTACCGTGCAAATCTCTCCTTTCCCACCTTACCCTCATCCCGATCACCCAAAATCAACGGCTAACAGCCCACTTCCAGCATCATGGTATATCTATAACCCCGAGCGTCTCCATCTAAGTACTCAGCTAATCGCAAAATAGTCCCAATCTTTGCGCCCGTACCTTCAGTGTGTCCGATCTTCCCTCACAGCCGCCCTCGCAATCTCCAACTTTGCTTCCCAGACAGCGGAACGGCATAATGTCCCAGAAGTGGAGGCAGCTACTTCGCCGGAAGTCCTACTAAATCCTCTCACGATCGCGCGCAACGAAAACGAGAAAGTCCTTATTGAACCAAGTGTGAACAGTATCAGAGTCAGCATTCGGATTAAACAGGCAGATGAAATCGAGAATATTCTAGTACACAAGTTCACGAGGTTTTTGACCCAAAGGGCGGAGGCTTTTTTCATTCTGCGACGGAAGCCAGTAAAGGTCTGCTCCCCTTGACATGGCGCATAATTCTGAATGGGAGCCGCCGTGGTTAACACATTATCTAGGGATACGATATTTCATTCTTGATTACCAATTTCCATACAGAGGCTATGTTGAAACATAAACTGGTTGACTTTATTATAGAGTTTATGGAGGAGGTAGATAAGGAGATATCGGAAATGAAACTCTTTGTGCGTATCAAGTCTCCACGCTCGATTATGTGGACTTCCTGCCTACTCTTATGTAAACATATTTTGTCTCGTCTGGCTAACGGCTGGCAATCTAGCTTAACGCTCGCGCGAGATTTGTGGCGGAATCCTTTTTGACACCGGTAAGCATAGCTACCACCTCCAGTGTCTTATCCGCGTACTAACAAGGCGATACCAGTTCGATTAATGTTATGCCTTTAAAATTTCACAGTAATGGCTTCGATGTGACTTGTTTTTTCCCAGTGCCTTAGTATATATCTCCTCTCGAGTGATAACTCGGAATGTGTTATCCCTCCCGAAGCCTTTCCACTTTGTGTAGATCACAATTGAAGATCCCAATTACATTTTGGTGTCGGAGCCTCTGTTCTAAAGAAGCATAAATTATGCTCCTAACATAATTTAGTATTCCTTTGGTTTCTATCTGCTCCCGCTGCTCTACCATTCTCCGTCACGGAGCTTCTGTCAGTGAACCTTTTAGTTCTCAAACTCATTTCAATGCTCTCAGAAAGGTATGATGTTCTATGGGCTGGTCCGTTTTCGAAATACCCAAACCCCCTTAGTTGCCCAGCGAATGTACGGAAGACGTTTCATCAAGGTCATATCCCTATTCTCTCTGTTTTATACCCTCAGCGATGAGAACTGATCTGTGTCCTCCGCTTCGCCTCCTGGAAAAATGGTTCCTTCCGCCAGTCATATCACTTGTAGCAAAACATTCCAGTGTAGAAAAAGGAACAGAGCTTGGCCTTTGTAAAAGGAACAAGGAGCTTCTTCAATAGCATTCATATATTGCCATTGTTCACAAAGGCAATTGCACATCTGCTGTCAGCCCCAGACTTTTGCTATGTTGCTGCAGTCCAGCTGCCCACCCCCTGACCCTCCCCCCTGTGATGCTCATGTCAACTAAGCATCTGTCCTTGATATCTCTCGGCGACCAGCTAACTGCTAAGCAGCCTGCAAACAATATTAATTAGTTTGTTTTACTTTTTTTCCCCCTTCTGACCCTCCTCTCTTTCTTCTCTTCTCTTCTCTCTGCTATACCTCAACAACAAATCCGGGTTAGCTTCCATTTCGGCGCCGCTGTCGGATGTGTAGTCCCTGCTGCTTTCAGTCGAATCCTTTTTCAATGAAACAGCTCGTTTTCCACCTGGTAAATTTCGCATCTCAACTGCACATGAATATACAGAACACTGACACGAAGTTTGTGGCATGAGCTTTCCTTCCATGTACAAGATGTTGACCGTGATAGGGCTCAATGACACGAGTATCCCCCAAGTTCCCCGTATTCAATGCCATCAATAGCCCACTGGGAAGATGATATGGAACCCGAGAGCAATTTCCAGCTTGACGAATCTCCAATGACAAATTCAATGGCGATGGAGCTGGGACCACAGCTCCAAACACTGAGATTAGTATCAGTTGCAGCGGTGAAGGGAACCATGGCCGCAGGCGATGAACTTGCCAGCTATGAAACGGAGGACTTGGACTTAGACGCTGAAATTGACTTCGATGAGACGTTCGACTCGGCCTCAGTCAATTCAGATGGATCAGAGGTCGAAGCTTTCCCTGATTTTGTTGACGATGAGAGCTTCCAAGCTGTGGAACAGAGCCAGCCAGAGCCTAAGGGCAGTGATCCCCCAGCCTCTTCTCACGCCCTTCAAATTAACGACACTCCACAGCTTCCCCCAAAGTTCGTTGATTGGTGCCCTTACAGTATCCAGATGTTTCTTGTGTATTATTCTTGCAAACATCACATGGCCCCCTGAGGCGACTTATGCGAGGATGCCATATATGCGGGGAGGTCTGTTAGTGCACAGCCAGTGGGTTGAGAAAGGTAAAATGAATCCAATTCCAATCCTGAAGAAACCAGATTCTCGAGCGGTTCTCCTTCTCTTGAATCTGCTGGAGATAATATGTGGAATACACTGCCAGTGAATTCCATTCGATTGACGCCAGAGGGAGTCACTTTGTTGGTGTTCCCTCTCGCACAATGGCACAAACCCACGATGATTCTTCTGTAACTACAGTGACGTCTGGAGAACGCGCTCGTACATCTTCGTTTTCGCCTCCTTGTCTTGCTTTTCAACTTCCATCCCACAACAACATCGACAACAACACTTTGAGCCGGAACAAATTGAAACCTACCTCTAATAGCAAAGATGACAGCTACACATACCACCAGAGCCCATGGTAGCCACCTAGCTAGCTATCTGCATGCGATGCCGTTCGAAGATGGGACGAGCAACAGCAAGCCACCCAAATTTGGGGTCATCAAGATCACCAATGTAAGTGCCAGACTAACAGTCCCTTGTATTCGTTTTTTTCTCGTTCTCTCTCATTCCACATCAAGTGCCAAGATGGACATGCCTGTTATCTAGAGTCATGCTAACATGACTCTAGATCCCTTATGCGGTGACGAAGCACGAGGTTTTGCAGTTTCTTGGACGTAACGCCAGTCCCTTGACTCCTGACTTGGGATATCCTGTTCACATCATCATGGAGCGTTCGACTGGCAAGACCATGGACTGCTATGTTGAATTTCCCACCATTCCTGATGCGGAGCGCACCCTTAGCTGGGTCAACCGTTGTCTAGAGAACTTCCAGTCACCCAAGTTGGGTAATCGTCACGTTATAGTGAGGCTTAGTAGCCAGGACGAGTTGCTTAATGACCTTTTCCCTCGTGCAAAATGTGTTGAGTGGAGAGATGGTGTCCCGTACGTGGATAATTCCAAAAAGGACAAGTATTGCTCTGGATTTCAGGGGTTCTTGACCGGAGAAGAAATCTTCTGCACTGTGCGACATGCTGAGGTTCCTAATCGCGTACGTATCCGACCTCAATCTGCTGCGCGTCCTGATCCTAACCAAAAATTAATCATCGTTTGTACAGTCCCCTTACTGTACAAAATGTCTTCAGCGCCCGTATGAGAATATGACAAGCACCCTGCACAAGGTAAGCTTCACTTTCATCAGCTTTTGATGGTTTACTAATCCCATTTCAGTATCCCTGGTATGCAACACATTGTTTCACCGTGGAAGATCGCAATCAGCTTTTTTCTGCTACATTTCGTCTACTTCATGCACTGGTGCCGAAAGTCGAAAGGGGAAGAACCATCGGGCTCGATTCACGCGTTGTTGAGGATTTGCTGCGAGCGGGACTTCACTGCCCCGTCTTTAATAACCGCCAGAAATTTGTTCTGAACATTGCTGCAAAGAACTGGAATGGCCCTAAATCTCTCTATTCGCGTTACTGGCCGTTTGACACTCTGGTCCAAAAGAATAATGCTAGTGAGGAGTTGGTGATGGTATAGATCTCCTCACAAATTGAAAACCTCTTCTTATGCTGACTTTTGCTCTCCCTTCGCCCTCCCCCCCAACAGGAATATGCCGAACTGATTGCTGCTGGTGTTGGCAGCCAGAATCCTGCTTGCAAGATACCTATTAATACCTGGAATCCTGTTATGCATGCTGGTTCTCCATTTGGCAAGATCTGGATTGAATGGGGATGGGGCAATACCCATCATAAGTGGAACGACGCAGTAGAATATGAGAGAGGTGCTTTGAGTCGACTCATTGCTGAGGGTCTACAGGTGAAAAATAATGCCGAAAATGAAACACTCCCTGTTGTATCCACAACCTCATCAACCTCAATTTCCGTGGGTAATGTACCTGCAGCCGGAGGTCCAACAGCGGCTGGACGTAGCAATGTAGGATCGGTCCCCACCTTTCGTTTCCCCATTCGCCTCGCCCATAACGTGCACCGCCATACCAGCTCTGCACCGATCAATTTAATCCGCGATCTGAACCCTGCCAATACGTCTAGACTTACCAACGATGATCCCCATTCTGTCCAGCCTCGTCCGCGTCCGCATTCCAACTCCATTTCAGGAACCTCTGAGAAAACTATCACCCATAATAATATTTTCGGGTCAGTTGGTGGTAAAATCCGTCGTCGCAACCGTGCTGCAACTGCTGGGAGCCGCCACTCCCCAGTTTTTGAAGTCGATGAGGATCACTATGCAAATCTCGTATGATACGTCCGCATTCAACATGGTTTTGTTGATGATTGCATTCCTTTGATGAACTCAGGAAATTTCTTAACTTTTTTTGCTTTCTTTTTTTACCTCCCATATTTCTTTCGAACTGTATCTATTATCTATGGATGGGTCCAGTTACCAGGTATTCAGTTGCCTTCATCAGCCTGGCATATGAAAGCTTCCGATTTGCGTTATGATCTTGTTTTACTTGTACACAGGATGGAGGACAACAAAATCTTCCTGGAATTTTTCTTGAATTTTTATGTTTGGTAAATAGGGAAGGAAAAAGCTTGAAGATATATTTTTTGAAGTCGTCGCATTTTCTTTTTTGCCTGTCCAAAAATGCCCTCTTGCGTATTTCCTAATCAGAGAAATATCCTGGTGACTTTTTTCTATTTCATTTTCTTTTCTTTTCTCTCTCGAGTCCCACATTTTACTTTTCTCCTTCCCAGGGGCTTCTATTCAACGTCAAAGAAGAATAGGGAGATGGGATAGTTCTGGCATTCGACGATGTGCAAGGAGAAAGCAAAACTGGCGGGCATTTGTTGATAAAACTGCGTGACGTACTCCGATTCCCTCAGCATTATTTGCTACCTTTGAATCTTCATTCCTCGACAAAACATGACTGAATCCCAGTCCTTGGACTTTCATCTTACGTTCGAAGCCTCTCTTGTTAATTTTGAATGGATGAGGCAGAGTTGTTAAAACGTAGCAAGTTTAGTTCGATCGTTAGGTTCTCGAGCAACAAAAGTTCGCATAACCTGTCTGTTCCAACTGCCAGTGTATCAACTGCACCTACAATTGAAACCTGGAATGGTCTGTTGGGCGATGTAAACTGTAGGAGACATCATTTCATAACATCCCGAATGCTCGAATATATATGTTGCATTAGTAATAAAGGGGGCTTCTGTTGTCGGTGTTTAAAGTAGCTAAATTTTTGCCAGTAATTACCAACGACAGCTGTGAAGACAACATGCACCCTGGACCTCCTTGTAAATTCATATCAAGAAGGTAGCATTAACGATTCATCATCCTCGCTATGCGTATCAGCAGCTGTATCACCACGATTTTGAAGAGCACGCCTTTCCTCCGAAGCAGCTTTACTCCGCCTTAAACCCTCCTCTCGCTTTCTCAGTCTCCGCGCTTCGGGATTCTCCCATCCAGCTTTCCTCGACGAAATATCGCCAGGACGACCTAAACTGAGCTCGTGCAATTTAGCCCAAAATCTCTCTCGGCGATCGGAATTTATCTTGAACCGCTCATTGGCAGTTGCAAGCAACATGCGGAGGTAGTCTTCAGAAACCAAGCTTCGAGCTGCGCCTTCATTTTCATTTCCATGGTGATGTTGGTGACAGCCAATAATGGACTCCAGGGCAAGTCCGGATGACCGTACCGCCACGATTGGATACGCTTCGGTATCATCTAGGCATCGCAGGCTTTGTATGCCACTTTCTCGAAAGCCTGCTGCTGTGGCGGCTGCAAGGACTGGCTGGGCATGTTTCAGGGAAGATGCCATGATGTGGAGAATCTATGAATACGCCGTTAGACATGGATTTACACAGTTCGAGCGGATTGGGAGGCATAAACAAGGAATCCAACTTGAAACCAACAAAGCAAGAAAACTAACCATGGGTTCGAAATGAAAGCGGACAAGCCTCGAACTTCCCGGATGAGCTATTGGGCCAATTTCCCCATCTCTGGAAATCAGATTAAACAGTTTATGAAGAGAAGTTCCTTCGATCGCCAAATCTATCTCTACCGGTTCATGGGATACAAAGAGCCATTTCCCGTTACCCTTCCCTCCTGTGGGCGCAAACTGTGTTTGACGTTGTTCTGAACTCTCCCTGTCCTCCTCCTCTTCTTTCATGATCTTAGAATCATCTCCTTTAATAGATGTGCCTTTGTTACTTCTTCCCCCCGTTCCATTGCTTTCTCTTCCCTTTCCCATTCCTTCTAAGAACACACTAATTCGTCCGGCACAGCTGCTCGTTGTCACTAAGCCCTGTATCTGATTGATATTGTGGATCAAATCGCGAATGCCCGCATCCACGGACCCCTTGGGTGATAGATCTGTGTATTCCTCATCTGGCACCGACAGAACTTGTAGAATTTTCTCCTTTCTCACTTCAAAGCCTGGGATAGGAGTGGACATGTCTCCGCGGCTTATTTCCATTTTCTTCTAAAGTAGTTAACACAGAACTGGGTTCTGCAGAATCAAAGGCAAATTGGAATTCCAAACCGGCTTCGCTCTTGGAATGATTTGGGCGATTCTTTGACCGGTATTCGTTTTCTTGACTGAGTTCGTTCAGCGTAGTAATGCATAAAGCGAGGATATACCTGCAAACAGCCAAATGGCGGTAACTACAACTTTAATAACAGCTGCTGTAACTATTTGACAAAAACCACCAACCACCGCAGAAATTCCAATTCCTTTTTCTGTCCCGCATCTTCGAGAAACAAAACAGCAAGCAGTACAGACCATAGAAGAAACATCTCTCTGGTCTATGCAGAATCACCCAGCACAAGCGCTTTCAATTATTTAGTTGGGCGCTAATAGTTGCAGCTTTCTGCCGCCCTGGCTGCTCAGAAAACGAAAGGATGGCTATTAACTATCCCTTGCGTCAAAATACAGCCACAGAACAGAGAGCCCATGGAAAGTTGGAAACGCCAGCCAGCCGCAATGATTCAAGTTCTTTTGACGAATAACTAGTTAAATAACCTTGTGTCCTCGT